TTGTAAATGATGACATGCTGCTCCAGAGACTGATGATCACCTGGCATGAGCAAATGTAAAACAAGTTTATTAAAATAGTAACTTCATTGTTTACTAAAAACATCTGATGGCTAATCTTGATGCTTTTGTCTGAGCACAATGATTGTCTTATCTGCCTTTTTGTTTAAGGAAACACACTGGCTCGTTCACATTTTAAGAGTTACAAGACAAGACTGCCACGTGCATTAGATATGGAGATAGAGCAAGGATGTGATTAGCCTAGCTTAGCATACAGACTGGACACAGTGAGCAAGAACGAGCCTCCTGGAATGTTCAAAAATATTCACGTGTGAGGCACATGTGAGACACAAAAGATTAAATCAGGGAGACACAAAAGATGTGTCTCCCTGATTTAATCCATACACAACATGCATGTAAAAACAACAGTCTGTGATTTATGGGAAACACTATTAGCATTCTAAGTAATACCTTTTCTGTGGAAGTGCATGTCGAGGCTGCTGGGAAGGTGATGGGGCAGCAGAAAGAGTGCAGCTAGAAGCTCCTCCACTCCCATCATGGCCTGAGTGAGATGCTGTAGGTACATGTCTGCTACTTTGGGAGACTCTGTGCCAGTAATGCCATCATGATGCTGGACCTGAAGAAACACACACCAAACACTATTTTATGTCACCATAAAAATACATTAGATTTTAACTGTCTGGGCCCCAAATAGTTTCTGAGTGCTTTTTGCTCCTGTTACATTGTATTGTATTATATGGCCTCATTTTTCACTGTAGATAAAGCACAACCATGGCTAGAAGTAGACATAACTCAGAAATTACTCCTGTGCAGTGTAGCAGAGTCTTAATGCCATAAATCACAGAAAGAAATAAAGATTGAAGTTGAAATTCTGTGATCATGTATTTTGCAAAAGTTGAAAAACCAGGAATCAAGATTCAACCAAGTGCCCATAGGTGTTACCAATACTGGAATAAAGAGCAGCTCTATTTTACTACGTAATTTTTTTATTCATTTCCATACTTGTTTCCTATCTGCTCCGTGTAAACACAGCCTGCAGTTCAGCCCAGTTCATCAGAAAAGTCTCTGAATATCTGTCAGGTGACTGTTGGTCGAGGCTGATGCTCTAATGGCTTCACCGTTACGCTAGAGAGTGCAGGATTTGTTTTTATTATTATTTTTAAAGACAGTTTTGCAGTTCTTTGTGGCCAATTTTTAAATAGATGTGTAAGATGATGAGTAGTTTATGGACCACAATTGTTTCTGTTTTTACAGTTTCCAGCTGTGATAATGGTGTAATCTTGGTAATTTTTTTAAGGTAACCTTCCTTTCAAATCCGCCAGTAGATTTCTGAGTTCAGAGGGTAAATTTAAGTATTATCTCTTTTGGCATTTTCACCTCTTCTGTTCTTCATCATTTAATTTAAATTAGTTTTTACTTCATTTGTTTTATTTTATTGTCTTTCAGATAAAGATGTCAAATATCTTGTCACATTACCTCAGAGACAGCCCAGCGTAAGGCTCTGAGTTTGTCCAGGGCCCAGTCTTTAGCCACAGGTCCGTCTGGGAAGCTGATTCGGTACCGAGTGAACAGAGTCTCCGCTGCATGCAGCTGGGAACTGGCCTGTCGTGCCACTCCTTTCAGGACATTTCTGGAGGCGTAAAACCCCGTCATTGCCTGGTAGGTGTCTAGGAAATAGAGCACATTTGCAAATGCAGGTTATGATGATGATTATTATTATTACTTATTCTAATTGCTTATTATTTTTGTTAGGATGTGGGATTCTTACCAACTGAATACGGCAGGAAATCTTCGCTCCCACGAACCTCCCAGGTAAGATTTGATTGGTGGATGGCTTGAAAATATTCACTGAGAGTGGCATACTGAAGTGTTACCCCAAACTCTTTGCTGTTCTGGTTGATGTACTTCATTAGAGGATCCATGTTGTTGAATTGAACCGATGAGTTGTAGAACTGTTTGTCGCAGCCCTGGAAAACAATAATCGAATAATCATTTAAGTAATACAGTTAAACACAACTTGCTCCTACCTGGACCTCAAAATGTGCATCTCAAAATCAAAACCATTCCACAAAACTACCTCCGACATTTTTTTCTCTGCCTCAAATTTGCAGTTGCGTATAAAAGTAGTCGTATTAAAAAAAAACAACCTTGAATACTGTTACTCAACTGGATTAGACACAAAAGAGAAGTATTATAGTTCTATGTACTCACCCATGGCCAGAGCACATGATTAGTCCTGAACCACGCAGCCCTCTGCTTGATGTTTCCCACCATGGTCTTAGCATAGGCCTGTACTGTCTCCTTGGTGACGGGCAGGCTCATGTTAGGATAGATTCCATCTTTTGGCGGGTCTGGGAACAAGGCAACTCCATTCCAATAAAAACCAGACCTGAGATGGAAGAACAACATGTTCTAATGACAGTCTACTCAAGTCAAATTGAGTATGCAATTTATTTTAATAACCAGTGTAAGGAAGTTTAGTTTGGTCTGTTACCAATTCAGCTAATTTACATTCTTCTAGAGCTTTAATAGAATGATAATAGGTTTAATCTCTGTAGACACAAGGACTGAAAATACACAACACACTGATTCATCACAGAAATAATGACATAAAGCAGCAGAGTGTAAATATGAAGTACCTGTTGGAGAAAGGCAGGTAGGATGGAGTGCAGTAGCTAAACTGGTCCATAGTGTGAGTGAAGATTTCTTGCTTTGCTTTCAAGGAAGGAGAGCCTCGCCATACAAACTGTAGTTTCTATAATAAAAATATAGATAAAAAACATGAGGAAGCTATTCAAATGTGTATGAACAGCTGCAAAAAAATATCCTCCCTACACATGCAAAGCAGTAGTGGGTCACAGTCATAGCATTTGGACTGAGACAAGAACTCCCACCTTGTTTTTCTGCATGCTATCTTTAAGGTCGTAGTCTATGCGCGAGATGAGGTGTGCGTTGAACCCAGCCAGGGCAAACAGGACCGGTGTGGTGGAAGAGGCTCCGAACGGATCCACGTGCCAGGAGAACCGAGGACGCACCCCAAACGTCTGGTATAAAAAACCATGGCCCTCTGAAACAGCAGAAAGGGTCTGGGTTACTACTATCCTCTATCGCTGCAACAGAGGATTAAAGGGTCAGAAAATGTGTGGCATTACCTGTCATCTGCAAGATCTCATCGTCAAGGTCAGTGACAGCCTCATCGTGCATCACCTGGCCTCCAATGATGAACTCAAGTCGGCCTTCTTTCACAAGCTGTCGTACCTAGAAAGGCATTTACACATAAAGATCAGTTTAGTGTTCACAGTAAGAACAAATCACTGCTCATCAAAGCAGAATGTGGCAGTTTCACTTCAAAGGTCCCGCATTGTGCCACTTGATAAAATCAGTGTTTTAGCAGATCTGCAGCTTGGGAATGACTTTGAAGTGGCTGCTGGGTAACGTGTATTTGTGACGTGCTGTGTTTCAGTCACTGTTTCATACTCGTTCTGTTGTCTGACAGCAGAAACAAAACAAAAAATATGTAAATGACAAGTTTTATAAACGCTGACATGTCTGCGTTTAGGTTTCACTGAAGCATAAAAGGCAGCATGAAAACACAGTACCCCACCCAGTCCTTGTTTACTGGTCACATATAGATCTTAAAGTTTCCACCATCTCTGACTGTCTCTCAGCTTTACAGTTTCCACAGAGCTCTAACTTGGGTGCATATAATTAAAGCTAATGGTAACATTAGCCACATCTGCTGCTCAACATAAAGAATTTTCTATTGTTTGGGGGACAATGGAATCAAAATAGAAGTAATCCACTGGGTCTTAACTTGTCAGATGCACTGAGTGCATGAACACTGCTTCTTGTGTTCACTCCTGCAGCCAACAGCAGAACATTTATGGTGCTTTGCTTTTGTCTGAGACCTTTTAGAGTTAGCAAAAGCAGATCTAGAATGTAAGCAAACCTGGTGGACTGCAAGTCACCTGCTTATTTTGAATGGCTCACCTGGAAACAGCCTGCTGTGAGGGGGCAGAGTTATGCATCTATTGGTTACCCGGTGTCTACTTAGAAATAGAATGAAGTTCTAACTGCCTTGTGTAGCTGGGGGGGGGGGCATCTAGTTGAAATGGGGTCGAGGAATGATAACAAAAATAAAGATTTTGACCATATTAGACATTTCAGATAATTCTACAATTCTACAATTGAATTTAGCAGACGCTTTTATCCAAAGCGACGTACATCTGAGAGCGGATACAACACAAGCAAGGATCTAGTCAGGAGATAACAATCTAGATAAGTACCACAGAACAAGTTCAAGTGTTACAGGGCCTTGATGCCAATAGCAGGCTGTGTGGGAGGTAAGAGGAAATTTTACCTCATAATATAGCGCAGAAGTGATTTATTGATACTATTTTAAATGATTTAATGTCTATACAGTGTGTTGATCATTAGACCATCATCATGTGTTCTTACTTGCTTCTTATGGGAATCTGAGGCCACAGAGTCCCACCACAGTCGAAAGAACTCCTGCTCCACAGCAATGAACCTGCGGTCTTTAGCCTTTGACAGCTCCTCAGTCACACTGGTGTACACATTGGACGCATAGGCGTGCATACTCTCCTGTGGAAAACACATGCTCAGCTTTAGAAAAAAACAACACACACATTTATCAAGATTAAACTTCCAGCTGGGTAATCTATGTGGTCCTACCTGAATGGTGTACACCCAGCCTACATCCATGTGACTGTGGGGGATTACAAAAGTCTGAATTGGCTTGTCTTCCCCTCTCACTCCATACAAGTGGAGGCAACAAAAAACAAACACGATAACTGCCACAAATCTCATGTTTTTAGCTCATAAAGAAGGACACTACTTTCAAACATTTCCCCCCAGACTTCCTTGTTGTTGTTGTACTGGAGCGCGTGACTGTCATCCAGTACGGAAGCTCAGACCGACCAAACCAGCTGCGTTTGAGTTTTTTTTTGAAACGCGTGTTGTCGGTGACCTTTCACACCGGAAACAATCGTTGTAAACACTGTGTACATTTGGAGGTGAGAGCGTTGCCTCCTATGCAACAGAGAAATGTCCAGAAACACGAGAATAGCGTTGGTGTTTGGCGGCTTCGTGACGGCCGTAGCCGCTGCGTTTTACCCCATTTTCTTCTACCCTCTGACCCACAGAGACGAATACAGTAAGTAGCTTCTGTTCACTTTGAATTAGCTGCACAGTCAGTTTGCAGTGCTCAGCCAGGTGTCAGTGTGTGTTTTTAAGGGTAAAAATATTAGCAGCGTGCTAGTTATTTCGTGCAACTAACAGCTAGGCGACAAATACACTATATAATATTGTAATTTATATTAGAATACATGACGGTGGCTAAGTTAGCATGTTGTTTACCATGTTAGTTAGCTAACCTCTGTTTTATGTCACTATCAGGGCTGCACCTAAAGATGAATTCCACTGTAGTTTATTCTGTCTGATTATTTTCTAGATTATTTGATGAGCTATTTGATCTGTAAAATGTCTTAAAAAATGTTTTTCAGTTTCACAAAACCATAAATGACATGTCTCAAATGTCTTGTTTTTGGTCCACAACCCAAGTATACTCAGTTTACTGTCACACAGGAGTGGAGACCAGAAAAAATGTACATAGAAAAAGATAGAATAAAAGAACTTAACATTATTTCGTGATTACTCAATTATCAAATTAGCTGACAATTAATGTAATATTTGAAATCTAATCGATTAAAGGACTAATTGTGATAACTCTAGTCATTATCAATCATTTGTCATTAATGTAATTGATTCAGAATCACATGTATCCAAAATATCTAAGAAAATCTGAACATAAACTCCACTAATATGCAGCTAAATTAACTCAGATGAGCGATGCTAGGAAAATTCATGAAGCTGTGACTTCAATTAGAGCTGAACAATCCATTTAAATTGAATTGAAATTGTAGTAAATGGTAAAAGCTGCAATTACGGATAGGGTGTAGCTGTTAGAAAATTACACTAATTTAATTTTATTTAATTTGATCACATAGAAAGGTCCAGGGTTGCTTTGTGCTTGCCCATTGATCCAAAAATACATGTTTCATGCATGCATACTGCAGTTTAACTAATATAGGCCTAGTCTTATTATTTATTTGCCACGCCTCATACATTTTGCAGCACATCTCACCCAGGATTCAAACTGTTGTTTCAGTGGTTTTCAAAAGTCTTGCCAAAAGCTTTTGGCTATATTTCATCTAATATTTCATCATCTTTTGAATCGATTACACAGGGAATATTGAACTGAAGCAGGACTTTGAAACAGTTCTATTGTAAATCAAATTGCAGTTACACACTTTTTCCATTTTGTTCAGCCATAGCTTCAACATATGCCTATCTCAGCCACTCCACTTACTGAACAGTCTTTGTAGTCCAAGCCAGCTCTGGCCAGGAAGATGGAAAGCTATAGTCATATTATACAGTAAACTGTTATTATCAGTTTCTTCCAGTGCTTCTTCCCGGGCAGACAAAAGAGAGCAATTAAGACTGATAATTACCAGCTGCTGTGTCTTGTTCATGACATTGAGTTTTGCCACAAAAATCCTCATATATTTCACTAATATGCTGTATTGTTCTGTTCTTGCTAGGAGAAGTCCAAAAAGTGAACCGGACAGGAATCAACCAGGCAGATGTGCAGCCTGTGGGTAAGAACGTCTAATAGATTTGAGTAGGAAGTGCGTTTATTGAATGTTAACGTATAATGTCCTTATTGTACAGACATGCTGAACTGCACAACCGCTGCAGGCCACAGAAAACCAGAGAGTGAAATGCTTGCCATGTGAATTTCAGTTTTCCTTTAAATTGGAAAAACAGCTCTGAACACCTGAAAGCAAATTGATTTCACTGTGTTTATGTTATTGTTTTTGTCTACACAACAGGTACATTTCACACAATATATATCTTGCATGCATAGAAATTGTGATTATTTTAAATCTCTATTTTGTTTAATATAAATTGCTGAAACAGGTGACAATATTGTGGTTACACATGCTGACATAGTTGATTTCTTTTTTCTCTGAAGGTGTGAAGACATGGTCTGATCCATTCAAGTCTAAATGATGACCAGTGACAGCCAGCCCTTCACTAATCCCAGACACTGATGTTGATGAAGACTTTAACTGAAGACTTTTTTTTTGTGATGTGTGCTTGATGTGTGCATGAGTGAATGATTTCAAGATGTGTTTATTTTGATTGTTAAATGACACCCAGCCTCTTAAATAAAGTTTAAAGTTTTAAGAAAATCGTTTTAAAATGTTGTTTAAATGCAAAATGGTTGGCTACAAACAGGAGGGGCGTAAGATAAGGAATGTTTCATGTCTACCCCCAGTTCACCCAACACAATTTCCCTGAATTTAAGATAAGGTGACATGCTGGTCATCAGTTATCCACATGGGGGCGCACCAGACCTATCTGCTGTTAGAAAAGCCACTGCACTGTGTAATGTTGTTTGTGCATTTTAGATATTTTGGAAAAACCTTTGTATTTCCAAAAGCTGTGCTCTGGTATGTAGCCTGTAGGAAATTATATCTTTAAAAAAAAAAAAAAATACACTGCTTTGTTTATCCAACTCATTCAAAAGAATCTTTTTTGACATTTTATTTTGATTTGGTTGATGTGAGAGTCATAAAATTGGTTCAGCAGATGAGAGACAACGTCCAGTAATGTGCGGTATCATCTTCCAAAATGGAAACAGTAGAGGCAGAGTTATTCCAGGACACATCACTCTGTATTATCATTTCTCTGTCACAGACACAGGGTTTAACTGTTGCCCGGCTGTTTAGATGCCATGTGACCGTGGCTGTGTTGTGCCCATAGGCTGAAAGTATGGTGCACAGCTCCATGGTCATCTTGTTCAAAATCCTACTCGATGTGATCCAGACTCCCTTTACGAGTCCATGGGTGCTGTAAAAGCAGAGAATTCCAAAACTACAAATTTTTTTCCCCTGTACTTTTGTGGTTTCCTGACATTGACCAGCATCCCCTTTCAGAGTTCGGTCCATCAAAGTCCTTTTGGAGGAAAGATAGATTAAGAAAGAACTAAAGCATGTGTTTATGGTACTTCAGAGATGGTGCATTTTTAAAGTTGCCCTTAAATCTTTCACAGTCCTCGATGTAGCCTGTACTTTCGAGCTTTTAGGACCGTACGCGAGGCCCTTTGCCAGCAAAACTGACTGCACAGGCCAGCAACGGCCACTCTCCTTCACAACCCCCCAATCAACAAGCCCCATTGTTTATGAGAGGTTGTTATTGTTGGGCTGCATTCAGAAACAAGAGAAAACTCAAGAGCCCGGCTGTGCAGAGGCGTCCAAAGTAAAGAGAGCAAGGGGTGAGGGGGTGGTTAAGGAAAAACGAAAAGCAGAAATTCCTCTCATTCCCCGCTGGTGTTTTCCAGATTCCTCAAGCGACAGCTTCTCGCCTGTGTGAGTGAAGTAAGCAACCAGAGGGGAAATTGAAGCGAACGGCGAGAGGAAGAGAACCACATTCTTGAGGGGACGCGTCACCTATACACAGAATAGAAAGACACTCTATCGCTGTTGCTTTGCCTGACAGTGTGTAACAGGTTGTGCAGCATGGCCCTCAGCTTTTCAGTCTTGCCTTTCCATTAATCACTGTTCAAATCACTGTGCCACTGTGACGTTAGGTCTCGAGCACAAACTTACTCGTTACGTGTGTGTTTTCTAAGGCGGCCCTCTAGTGTGTACCAGGCTTTTATAGTTCTGTGTTGTCTAGTCTTCTTTATGTGGCCATTGTCCCATTCACTGGAATATATAGATAGACAGCCATCTCTATAAAACATTCAATAGGGTCACTGCGCACTATAAACTAACATGAACTCAACAATGTCGCCTCCGCAGCACTTTTACTATCCTACTATTAACCCATCACACAAATCTCTCCCAGCTATTGAGGAGGTTTTGGAAAGTGGTGGCACGTTGTCGGCCGCTCTGTGCAGTTTGTTAAGTGTGTGTTCAAGAGCAGCAGATAATTGGCCAAGGTTTCTAACTAATTGCCATGGGAACAGGGGTCGACAGACAGGCCACGGGGTTGCAGAAACGGCAGAGAGCATTCGGGAAGGGGTGGGATGGTATGTAAAATACGAGCAGAGCAGACGCTTCTCTTGTGCTGTGTCAAGTATGCAAAATAGAAACAGAAAAACAGGAACTTCAGAGAGCTCTTAGAGGCTCTTGATGACACATTTGAAGACAGAACTGCGGCATTCATGTGTTTTTTTTTAAAGAGGATTTCTCCTTTGTTATGTTTATTTTCTAGAAAACAAATAGCGCATACTCTCCACCAAAGAATGGATATCCCGACAGTCATAACTCACAGGTGGTTGTGTAATTGTTATTTTCATGGGTCGTCATTATATTCTGCAGATATAGGAGAGAAAATGAGAGAAAAATACATGAATATGTGCACAATATTCCTATAAAGGGATGCACCTGTCAACTAAAGGAAGACCAAAGATTGATTATAAATGTATGCAAAAAGAAAACCCGGTCCAGTTGCAAACATTAGCATTTAAGAGCACAGCTGAAATAATTAGTAATGATCCGTTTGTTGAAAAAAACAACAATGCTGCCTAAATTAAAGCAACATGGACAAAATGAAAAGAAAAGAAGGGGACTTTTGTATGATGTTTGTGAGGAAACACTGTGAGATGTAGTAGGAATTTGCATTTTGCTGTAATACTATTCATTAGTGCAGCCCTTTAAAGGAATAGTCCGCCAATTTTGCATTGAAATCCTTTAACATTGTTAGACTCACAATTAATAGTTTAAAGAATGAAATCAAAATGAATTAAACTGCACCACTGATATCGTTTCTTAAGGTGGTGACAGCCATGGCTGGAGGCATCATCTTATTCGATTGTCTGTCAGTCCGTGTGCGATGCATCAGAAATGCCTTGAGGGAACGTCTTTACATTTGGCACAAATGAGGATGAGCTGATTAGATTTTAATGGTCAACACTTTTTTTGGCTTAAAGACACTAATTATGACAAAACTGCAGGCGAATGTCTAATGAGATAAATTGATGACGTGAGCTTGAGCTGGTAGGAAAAGCTCTCCATTTTCTTTTTTGTCTATGTTCTAATCCTTACCTATGGTTACCATAACAATGATCCCAATACAAGCAGCCTACATGAGTTTCCTCCGTAGAGTGGCTGGGCTCAGCCTTAGAAACAGGGTGAGGAGAATAGTCATCTGGATGGAGCTCCAAGCAGAGTCGCTGCTACTTCCTGTTGAAATGAGCCAGCTGATGTGGTTTGGGCATCTGATTAGGATGCCTCTGTTTCGCCTTTCTTTGGAGATTGTCTGAGTACATCCAGCTGGGAGCAGACCCCAGGGAAGCCCTCAGACTTGATGGAGGGATTGCATATCTCATCTGGCCCAGAACCCCTCAAGAGAGGCTGGAAAAGGTTTCTGGGGACAGGGATGTCTGGAATGACCTGTCGCGGCTGCTTTGCCTGACAGAAGAAAATGGTTTGATGGAGCGATGACATTTCATATCCAAAAGGTCAAAGGTCAACTGTGGCATCATGATGGTCTGCAGAAAAACTTGTTCTGGCCAGAATCTAACATCCTAATTGAGGAACTGAAGGAGAGATGGATGTAAACTGCAATTTGACTTGTTGGTGGAGACTGAAAACCACAAGGCGGTAGTTCTAGTTTATTCTACACACCTACATTACCCACAGTGCAACACAAAAGTCCAAAAGTGAATCCCTCAAAACCAAAAGTAGAAGTACAGTACATTGTATACAGATCACCTAAACAATGACTACAGTTCACCAAAGATGTCGCAAAAAGTAAAAAGACAAGAATCACCCAGATTATCACTTGAAAATAAATTCAGCGCACACAAGCGCAAACACACACACACACAGTTGGTTTTCTCTCACAAAATAAGCAGCGTCTACATTTCACATCTCAAATACACTGCTTAGCCTTGTAAAACAATGTACCGGAGTGCTGTCCACATTCTTGGGTCAGCAGGCGCACGGCTGTGGAAACAGATAGTAGAAGACTGAAGCAATGTCTAGGAAAAAAAAGCCACCGGCCAGGCTCGCAGCAGGCAAGCAAGGCTAACTGCCCGACTGACAGCGTGGTCTGGAGCTGGTGTTACATTCACTGCGTGCACGAGTGTGAGTGCATGTGTCATTCAGGAAAGAAGGCGAAGAAGTTCAGCTGAGAGGAACCCAGTATCCCCTGGAGACTAAACTGTGGTCGTGGAACTTACTGGAACTCCAAACATCGTGTGTGTGCTTTTGTATTATGTTCAGTTTTGCCTGAAGCACAACCACAAATAGATAATTATGGTTTGTTTTAGGTTGCATCTGCATTGCCCAGTCGTGAAGGCATTGCAGTTCATTTCTGTGGTGTGTCAGTTCTTAGTTAAAGGGGTGTGCATAGGGAGCCAATGATAAAGGACAGATGATGCAACGATGGTTTGTCTGATCTCTCCTTCTTGTTTGCTGGTGTAATTTAGACTCGAACAGGAACTTTCAGTTATAAACAGTCTCTATAGCCATTTGGCCACCCAGCAGTGCACGTGTGAATACATGTTTTGCGGTTTTTGCCTCTTAAAGTCTGTTATTAGCTGAACTCATTACAAACATTCATCTAGTAATTAAGAGCTACATTTGCAAGACAGTAATTTTCACAATATTCAGACTAGTAATTAGCACAATTCTTGTTTTTGATTTAAATGGCACTTTACTAGTCCTGAGCAATCGTTGCTGTTTTAGGTTAGCACGGTAACATGTTTGAAGTCATATTGAAAACACTGCAAGGGATGGTTCAAAGAGTGGTAATACATTTAGCCCAGACTGATTCCAGCCACTATTTTTAATGGGTTTCCATTGATACGTCATTTTGTGTGAACATTTCTGGTCCTCAGGATGAATCCTAGTGATTTTCAGACTAAATCCTTATGATTTTCTTTATACCCTGACATTTCACCTAGCATCCCATCAGGTCATAGATCACGTGGTCATTTTCCCCTTAGAATGAAATCTAATAACTTTTGTGACTCTGTAGAGGATGTTTCCACTTCTCTTCATTCTGCCATACTCTCCAGTAGTTAATGTGGCTGTTGTCACTTGTGCTCATTCTCTCTTGCTGTCGTGATTTGAGGAAATGGGGAGTTGCACAAAACAGCTTGTGAAAGGCCATTAGCTTGGCAATTTAGCATGAGCTCACTGCAGTTTTCCAAAGAAAGACAGTTTTTTACATGAGT